CGCGCGCGCAACAGAGCAGCCTAGGCTGCAGGCGCTAGGCGCTCGCCTCGTCACTGCTACGTATCTCCTTGGGTACGACCGTCATCTTCTCCAGCCACTCGCTTCAAGGCCCACGTCCCGCCACGCCCCGCCACGCCCCATACTTAGTTAAGAGGAACGCCCTCACCTCACGATGGGACCGCCTGACCACTTTGTCTATTGTTGCCGAAGTCAGCGCGCGTGTTCCCATACGCATGCGTGCATTGGGGGGACTGCGATGGACGCGACTTATGGGTCGGCCTTGTACCGACCACCCCCGTGCCGCCCGGCCTCCCCCGCCCCGCCCCGCACACCCCGCCGCCCATCGACATGACTAACCGCCCGGTGGCGTGGCGTGGCGTGTTGACTCGTGATGGCGTTCTTATTCCCGTGTGTGGTGGCTGCGCTGGCCCGACGCCGCCGCCGCCCGCGGCCCGGTGAAAGCCTTTTCGCCCCTCGCTCCGATTCGACTATTACTTTGTATTACTGGCGCTGCTGTGTCTCTCTGCCGCTTCGGTCGTCGCAGCTTTCAGGATGACGCGTCCGTCCTCGGGAGAGGCGAGTCTTGTCGCGGTGAATGGCGATTCGGCTCCTTTGCTACTCGGGTCCGCTCTCATCCGTTTGTTTTGTTCCGTTTTGCAGGCAGCAAGCGGGTGGTGTGCTACTACACCAACTGGTCCGTGTACCGGCCGGGCACGGCCAAGTTCAGCCCGCAGAACATCAACCCCTACCTCTGCACGCATCTCATCTACGCCTTCGGCGGGCTGACCCGGGAGAACGGCATCCGCGCCTACGACAAGTACCAGGACATCGAGCAAGGTCAGTGCTTCGGGGTGAGAATGGCCGTTAAACGGTCGGAGTACTTCCGCGCTGCCCGTAATGTGATTGGCCGCGCACGCTTTCCCCCCGGGAGGCCTGATAATGACCAAACGGTTTGTGGGAATGAAAAAGCCTGGGGCGAAAGTGATTGCCGCCTGTCCTGCGCAGTCCTGCGCTTCCCCGCGCCCGCGGCGGCCAGGACAGCTCAGAGCGCGACGGTATGGCCCGGCGGCCGGCGGCTCGTCCAGCACCGCTCTGCCACGACAGGCTTGTCTCGAGATAGGAATTTTTGTTCTCAGAGGGGAAAAGAAGGAGAAGTCACCTTTTTAGGCTGAGAGATTCAGGGTACGGCTGCGCGTAAGTTATAGCTTCGGTGTATACCGAAGAGATTTACACCTATATATAGGTGTCCTCAATCTAAATCTTTTACAAAGAATTTGTTTGTATAACGCAAAGAATTCTGTGCAACCGTAATATACAGAAAATTTCCTTGTATTACACAAAAGTTTTCTTTGTATTACAAAGATTTTCCTTTGTATTACAAAGAAAATTTTGCTTTGTAATTAATTTTACACGGGGTGGGAGCTAGGCGGGACAGAGTAGGGCATGGTGGACGCACCCAGAAAAACTAAAACTTCTAGCAACCATCGGATGGTAGACCAGGGAGAACCATGAAAACATTGTTGCGGCAACACACACGGTGGTTCCAACAACGAAAACAACAAGCCGAACCATTTTCATCGGTGATGTAACCATACAAGTGTTGGTACAACGATATTTTTTATGGTTATCCCTGGCCTACAATAGGATGGTTGCAACAAGTTTCCATTTTTCTGGGTGGCGGCACCAATCAATCCTTCTCCAACTCGGAGCAGTACGTTTGGCCTTCCCCGGCCGACCGCAGCAGATCACTGCTCTATCTTAATTGAGGCCGTGAAATTCAAACTGGCGCGCCGTTTTCCTGGCCGGGAGGTCACGTGGTCGCACGCAAGAACAAAAGAGGCGCGCGCGGCGGTGAGGACTGTCAGGACGCGGAAGGGGAGAGGGGGAGACAATGGGGTGTCCGCCAAGGTCGAACGAGGGGCGGGGAGGTAGGCGGGTGGGGTTATAGGGAAGGGGGCACGGGGGCAGTGACCGGTCACACTCCGGGGGCCGCGCAGTATTGTCACTTCATTATAATGAACCCCACAAAACCTCTTTGACGAATAGCACATGTTCGGTTTCAGGTGGTTACGCCAAGTTCACGGGCCTCAAGTCTTACAACAAGAAGCTGAAGACGCTCTTGGCCATCGGCGGCTGGAACGAGGGTTCGGCCCGCTTCTCCCCGATGGTTGCCGACCCCGAGCGGCGCGCCGAGTTCGTCAAGAACTCCGTCCGCTTCTTGAGGACCAACCACTTCGACGGCCTGGACCTGGACTGGGAGTACCCGGCGTACCGCGACGGCGGCAAGCCCGCCGACCGCGACAACTACGCGGCGCTGGTGCAGGAGCTGCGCGAGGAGTTCGACAAGGAGCACAAGAAGACGGGGCGGCCGCGCCTGCTGCTCACCATGGCCGTGCCCGCCGGCATCGAGTACATCGACAAGGGCTACGACGTGCCGCGGCTCAACAAGTGAGTACAACACACGGGGGCGGGCGGGTTTGCCTACTCGCTCTACCCGTAAGGCGCCATAGCCGCCTGCCTGGGTAGGCAAACCCGCCCGCACCGGTACAGCGTACAACTCTGCGACTCTCCAAGTCTTGCCACTCTGGAAAGATTTTGTTCTTTAAATGATAGGTGTTGGACATTTTAGAAATATTTAGTCCAAAACATAACATGAAGATTTTGGTATCAAGACCATACCGGGGTCTATCTATGCGATAAACATTGAGGCGGCTAGCTGTCTCAACGTGCGGCAAGGCGGCAGCCCTGGGGCAGAGAGCTTCATGTTCCCTCTCTGTAGTCTCTTGCATTAATTTAATTAAGCTAAGACAAAGATGATATCAAACAGCGACGCGCCAGTTAGGCTCTTTTCTCAGGTGTATTCCTCACCTATCATATTGATGATGGCCAATGGACCTGGCAGCCGATCGTGGGATATTTTGAAGTACTTTATTATTCCAGGTCGAAATTTTATATCCCCGACCCCGACTGTTGGCCCCCCATACCTCAGACCTCAGTGTTTACATTTCCAAAGAATACTCTTCATGAGCCAGAGCGATAAGTGCGGAAACGAGGCGTGTCATTATATCGCGTCTCCACGATACGGGCAGTATCGGGCAGTATATTTTACTGCGAACTACAGAGGGGCGCGGAGGGGGGAGGGGGGGCGCCGACATCAGTCTGCGATCTCTGCATAAACACACACACACATCCCCGGTCTGCAGTTTGCACGCATGAATGAATGCATGGCCGCGTAGCGAAAACAATGGTCATGTGGGTGACCTGCACGCACGCACGGGCTGCGCGCCGAAACGCTTCTCGTCGACGTCGTCGGTGAGCAACCGCCATATTCTAACGATATACAGGGTGGGTGATCCGCGCCGTGGTTTTTTTCTGCTTATGCTGTACCGGATTCATGCGTGCGGGCGGGCTTGCCTATCGTCGCTCGCCATGGCGCCTTATGGCCCCGTGCGAGTATGCAACCCGTCCGCACGCATGAATACGGTACAGTATAAGCAGAAAAAAACCACGGCGCGGATCACCCACCCTGTAGTGACGAGAGATCTCCTTACAACAATGCAGCTTCATTTGACCAA